TAGCCTTGAGTGGCCTTGGGCTACTAAGCAGGTAAGCCCCACATAACTAACTCCCAGCCTTCCCTGCTATAGGATGATACCTAGGGGCCACTGTGGCTGGCTGCAGCAGGTTGTGGGGCAGGCCTGTGGTTTTTATAGGTTCTCCGAGCACTAGGGCCTCTCAGAGTTGCTCCACCTCCTGCCAACCACAGTCCCACCTTATTTCAAGACATATCTGGAGGAGAGGAAGTTGTGTTGTCAAAAARGTAGTTTTGAAACTACTAGCTTGAAGTTTCCAGGACAAAGCCTTCTCACCCCCAGTTCCCTGAGAGTCTTGTCCTGATGATCCAGCCTGGAGACCCTCCTGTTCTCAGAGACCCCAGGCCTGGCCTGGGAGAAGGCAGGGACAAGTCTGCATGTGCATGGGGCCTCTCCTCTCTGCCACAGAATTGGACAGAATCTGGTTTGAGTCACTGTGGCCACAAAAAGAGTAAAGGAATAAAATATGCACAGATCCATATAAAGCTATAAAACTGCCCAGAGGAGCAAAATTGCTCCCAGCCATTCCGAGACTGGTGTAGGGAGAGAAGATGGTGCRAGATGGGGGTGGACCAAGGCAGTAGCTGGGTGAAGAATTGGAAGTGGCAAAGCAGCTGCTGTCCCCCAAAACCACAGGGCTACCTGAGAAACCTCAGACTTTCTGAGTAGTTGGTATGCCCAGGTCTTAGCCTGGAGCCAGGGAGGAGAGGGGAGCCCTGGCCAGCAGGTGGGCAGGTGGAGCTGGRCCAGGTCTGCTCTGGACCACAGCTAGCAAAGGGGAGCACTTCCCTGCTGGTTGCTGACTCTGAATCTTGGATTTGCAGAAGCCGGAGGCCCGAGCCCCCCAGCAAGCCTCCTTCTCCGTGGTGGTAGCCATTGACTTCGGCACCACATCCAGTGGCTATGCCTTCAGCTTTGCCAGTGACCCTGAGGCCATCCACATGATGAGGTGATGGTGGCTGGGATGGGAGATTGCGGGGAGGGGGATCCCCAAATTCTGGGATGGGCCTGATCCTAGAAATGGTCACTGAGACATGGGGTCTTCTCAGAGCCTCTTCCATCCCTAGTCTAGGCACGCTGTGGGGACAAAAGGTTGGAGGATGGCCTCACATCTGGGCTCCAGGCCTCAAGTGGAGCACTCTCACCCTCTGCCTGAAATGTGGAACTTTAGTTTTATTTTAAGTTTTTATGTATTTATTTACTTTTGCACTACTGGTGATGGAGCCTAGGGCCTTCCTTGCACATGTGAGGCGCTCTACAACTGAGCAACATCTCCCAGCTCAGGGGTTTATTTGTGTGTTTTGGGCAGTACTAGGGGAACTTTTTTTTTTTTAAGAGAGAGAGAGAGATTTTTTTTAATATTTATTTTTCAGTTTTCGGTGGACACAACATCTTTATTTTTATTTTATGTGGTGCTGAGGATAGAACCCAGCGCCCCGCGCATGCCAGGCAAGCACTTTACTGCTTGAGCCACATCTCCAGCCCGGGGGAATTTATTTTTAATTTAAAATTTTTTGTGGAGATAWAACAAATTTGCAATAAAACATACATACCTTTTTATTGGGTTATACACAAACATATATATCTGCATATATGTGTTTTTTTAAATATTTTTAGTTGTAGATAGACACAATACCTTTATTTTATTTATTTATCTTTATGTGGTACTAAGGATCGAACTCAGTTCCTCTTACGTGCAAGGCAAGCGCTCTACCACTGAGCTACAACCCCAGCCCTGCATATATGTGTTTTAAAGATAAAAGTGATCTATAATAAAACTTGCTTTATTTTATTTATGTATTTATTTATTTTTGTGGTACTGGGGATTGAACCCAGGGGTGCTCTGCCATATCCAACCTTTTTAATTTTCTTTTGAGACAGGRTCTTGCTAAGTTGCTGAGGCTGGCTTTGAACTTGCAATCCTCCTGCCTCAGCCTCCTGAGTCTCTGGGATTATAGGTGTGTGCTATGGTGCCAGTTCTCTCTTTCTTATAAAGCTGCTGGGATTCAGTCATGGTTTCTTCACCCTAAAAACCTTATTTTAGTCCTGATCTCTTCCCAAAGGCCTCACCTCTAAACACCATAAATGGATCTCCACTCTCCTAGGACCTCACAATGGGGATTACATTTCAACAGATGAAACCTTAGGGGACACTCAAATCCTAACCAAGCCATAGCAACTTCCCTCTGTATCTCAAGATCCCGATCCTTTGAATGTATCTTACTAGGGCCACAGCCAGTAGGTGAAGCTACAGAAGACTCCACAACTCTCAACCCAGATGGRTATGGGAGATACAGGGGAGCTTCCCAAGGGCCTGGGAAGGGTGAATGGAGAGAYAAAAGCAACTGACCCAAAGATACATGAGACGTGAGCTTCCTGTGAACCTGGACTGATTTTCCCCTATCTCTGCTCCCTCCACATGATAGGAGGCCACAAAGGCACTTAGAGCCCTCTAGGAGCTGTAGGGCATACCAGCTGATCAGCATACACAGCTAAGGCTCTGGCCAGGTTTCATGAACACATGAAAGACACTGTCTCATGAAAGTGATGGTCACAGAAACTGAGGAACATCTTGACCTCCCCAAGCCTTCTCTTCTCACAACCACCAAGCCCCATCATTTCTGTGTCTCCCTAATATCTCTGGTATACCCATCCACCTCTCTCCATGGCCACAACTCCAGCCTAAGTTTACCCTCCATCCTCTCTCACTTGCACTGCTGCAACATCCTCCTTCCTGGTGTAGCTTCTGCATCCTCTCTTGCCTCCAATCTGTTCTTCATGGAGACCAGCGACCTCCCTTTCCAAAGGTAAATGTAGTCATGTCTATTCGCTGCCCTACTTAAAATCCACCAAGATAGAATTCTGGTATGACATTTAAAGTTCTTCATTATCTAGAATTCCTGTAATTTCTTTTTTCCCTGCTGCACATTGAGCCAATCTAGAATTGGTTCCCCTGCTCTTCATACCTCTAACCTTTTGCATACTTCTCTGCCTGGATTCCCAGTTCCTTCCCACAAAGGACTACAATGGCGAAGTTGGCCTGAAGGAGTCAGGATGTCAGAGAAGGAAGAGGAGGGGGAGGAAAGGATTTGCCAGGCAAAAAAGTGGGTAGTTCTGGGTGGAGGTCCAGAAGCCCTTGTAGACAGGGGGTTTCAGAATCTCATTCAGGTTTTTGGGAACTGCCAGAGGTGCAGTCTCCTAAGGTGTGACTGTGGAGGTGGGTCAGATAGAAATGGTCTTGAAAGACTTGGAAGGAGCCTGGCCTTGGAGAATGGCCTTCAAGAGGGCAAGGTCCCTGGCTGGGACCTGGGTTTCTTCCAGGGTCCCTGGGTGGACTTCTTCCAGGGTCCCAGAGAGAACACATCAGGAAATCAGACCCACCCCAACAAATGGTGGCTTTTTGCTGCTTGTAAGGGATATAAAGAGGAGAGGTCAAAGGGTGTGACTTAATGGAAGAAACAGGAGTCAGATGGGACCAGTGGAACCTGTAGGTAGCATTTAAGGAGATTTAATTGTGTGCTATCTGTACTTCCCAAGAACAAATCTTCCCTCATTTCCTCTTCATAAGAACCCTAAGAGGTAGATACCATYATTATATCCATTTTACAGAAACTGAGGCTTAGAGTTATGTCCTGCCTGAGGTCACACTGCTGGCCCCGGAGCCAGCACCCAACCCCATGAAGGGTGGGTTGCCGCTGAACCCACTGACAACCACCCTGTGCCTCCACAGGAAATGGGAGGGTGGGGATCCAGGCGTGGCCCACCAGAAGACCCCTACCTGCCTGCTGCTGACCCCAGAGGGAGCCTTTCACAGTTTTGGCTACACTGCCCGTGATTACTACCACGACCTAGACCCTGAGGAGGCACGGGACTGGCTCTACTTCGAGAAGTTCAAGATGAAGATCCACAGCACCACTGTGAGCCACGTTCTGGCTCTGGGCAGGGCTGGGACCGGGGAGGCGGGGCCAGGAGGGGAAAAGACTGCATAAGTGGAGGGTGGGGCACAACTAAAAGAGATGAGGAAGAGTGGTGGAAGGATGGCTAAGGGGCGGGGCTGGAGAGAGTTGATCCAGGAGGTGGGCGGAGCTCGTAGGTGGTCGGGCCGGGCTAAGGTGAGCTGGGACTGAGGGTGAAGAGGAGTTAGAGGGGGAGCGAGGTGAAGGTCAAAGAGGTCATCAGGGAATGGTGGCAGAGCTTTGGCCTCTGGCAAAGCCTCTGTGTGTCTCTGCCAGGATCTCACCTTGAAGACCCAGCTAGAGGCCGTAAACGGAAAGAAGATGCCAGCCCTGGAGGTGTTCGCCCATGCCCTTCGCTTTTTCAAGGAGCACGCCCTTCAGGTGTGCTGCCACCCCGTTCCAGACAACTGGGGAAGGGACTCCCAAGCTCTTCTACTCCTTCCTTTCCCTTCATCCCACCCCATCCATCAGATGTGAAGTTATTGCAGCATATTATAGACCATCTTCTCCAGTCCCCTGTCTTTCTATCTGATCAGACAGGTGGAGGAGGGAGATTCTTCCAACTCAACTTGGAAGTCTTTCCTGAGATTTGGTTAGTTCCCCCAGCTCCCATACAGGGCTGAAGATGCTCCCAAGCCAACTGTTCCCCTCTCCACTCCCTATTCCTCCAGGAGCTGAGGGAGCAGTGCCCGTCTCTGCCAGAGAGGGACACTGTGCGCTGGGTGTTGACGGTGCCTGCCATCTGGAAACAGCCGGCCAAGCAGTTCATGCGGGAGGCTGCCTACCTGGTGAGGAATGCAGGCAGAACAGAGAACGATGCTTGGGAAGGCCTGGGGGTTGGCCCCATATCCTCATCTCCTCACCACCCCTGAGATCACAGAGTTACTACTGTTCAAAGACCTCAACCTTCCCCTAATGGGAATTTTGGAGGGCCATTGCCACCAGGAAAGGAAGGGCCTGAGGAAACAGGAAGTAGAATGACAAGAAGCACAGCTCAGGCCAGTATAGACAACATCTTTTTTTTTTTTTAATATGTAATGCTTCACAAATTTGCATGTCACTGTTGCGCAGGGTCCATGCTAATCTTCTCTGTATCAGTCCAATTTTAGTATATGTGCTGCCAAAGTGAGCACCAGACAGCATCTTAAGTCATGTTTCCTAGAAGCAGAGCCCAAAATGGGGAGTCTCATGTGGTTGTCTACTGAAAACAGGCTCTCAGGAGAAAGGGAAGGGAGGAAGCAGGACARGAGAGAGCTGAACAGGGATGTGATCTTGCAGGAGCCCCGCCTCAGCTTGGTCTCCCAGGGAGCTCCAGAGGGAGAATTATAGCCCTGAGTTGGCTACCGTGAGGAAAGGGTCCATGTCCGTCAGTGACATGTTGCTGGGAAAATGGGAGGGACTCCTGTCCAAGGGAGGCTGTTCCCATTCAGTTGAGGACAGCTGTCCCTAGAAGTAGCAGTTGTGGGCCAACAGCAGCAGACACAGCAGCAGAGAGGGAACCACCGACATCTACTTCAGCTGGCATCAGTACTTTCAGGAGTACCCCTGCCTCTGCCCCAGCCACTGTAGGTTCTTGAGCAGAGGAGAAAGGACTATGAAACTAGGAAGGGAGGAGATTCTGCCCAATGTGTGCCAGTCTTCATATACAGAGATGTCCAAAGGCCTGGAGAAAGAAGAGGGTGCAGAGGCTCTACTCTCTCCAGGGAGGACWCAGGGTACCCCCAATCTCACAAGCAAAACTCATTGCTTGGCCTTGCCCCTGGAGTCTTGAGGGACAGACCCTAGGACACCCAAAAGGGATCTTGCCTATCGGCTCCCTGGGATATCAGTGCCCCCAATACCTCCATACCTGTGGGCCAGGCATGACCCAGGGGCCAGGTTTATAGCTATCTATGCTTCTCACTGGAAGTCAACCCTGAACAAGTGGGCATCTCCCCACAGGGATCAGGACAGAAGCAAAGCTGTCTCCTGAAAGAATACTCCCCACCTTAGTGTCTCCCTGCTCATTTAATCACCCTGCTTCCTCCCATACTGTTCCCTGCTGCCAGCTCAGGAAGGGCTGGCTCTGGGCAGGAAATCTCATCCCCACCTGTATCCTCCTCCCCCTTCTGATCAGAATTCTGGGGAGCCCCAAAGCCCCTGCAAAACCCAGTATTTCCCAAAGGAATCTCCCGTCCTAATGCAGGAAATAACAGATTTCAAGTGTTTTTCTCCCCCCCACACTGGCCTATCTTGGTGCCTGGAATTTCACTGTTTCCTTCCTGCTATATCAGATTCTCTGGGAACAAAGTTCTCCTGGGAGTGGGGCAGCCTGTGGCCAAGTGTCTGACACCCCGGTGAGCCCAAGGGAGCCCCTACCACTTCCTCTGCTCCACCACACTCCAAATACTGTGCTAGATAGTCTCTGCCAACACCCCAGCCAGTGCTCAGCTGGTCAGCTACACCTGCGAAGGGGAACCTTGCTACAGTTCTGTCATCTTCCTGCTGGGCCACCCCTGTGTCCCTTGGGCCGTGGCCATGGCCTCCGGCCTGGTCATAAAGTGGCTGTGAGCTCCACATTTATGTAGCATGAAGGGGCCTGAGAGGCCTAGCATGGGTGGGATGTGACCAGGGAGGAGGTGGGAGCCCCCTGGTGTCATCCTAGATATGACAGCCCATAGCAATGTCTGGTCCTGCCCACTTTCCACCCAGGCTGGCCTGGTATCTCGAGAGGATGCAGAGCAACTGCTCATTGCCCTGGAGCCTGAGGCTGCCTCTGTCTACTGCCGAAAGCTGCGCTTGCACCAGCTCATGGACCTTAGTGGCCGGACTCCAGGGGGTGGGCGCTTGGGTGAGCGCCGCTCCATTGACTCCAGCTTCCGTCATGGTGAGCTGCCTCAGGGACCTTGCCCAAGACTGGTAAGATGCAGTTGCCCTTGGAGTGTTGAGGTCACTGAGGCCACAGGCTCAGAATGTTCAAGATGAAGCGGAAGGAGCACTAATCTTGAGGTAGCAGGAACATCCCTGGTGAAGTTCAATTGATGGAGAGAAGTGCAGCCCTGCTCTTGGGGCCCCTAGTCTGGGAGGTGGGGGGAATTGAGATTTCACCTTGCCTAGGGGCACATAGTCTGAAGAGGGCAGGACTCATTCAGGCCTGAGACTGAGGTTGGGGGAGGCACAGCCTGMCCTGGGGCAAGCTGCTCAGGTGGGCACTGCCAAAAACAAAGTCTGCCCCCACTCTTGTCTTCAGGAGCTTTCCCTTAAACAGCCACTGCCCACGCCCCAAGCTTCTGCTGCCAGAACCAGGCACTGAGGCCAAGGACAGCTATGGATAACATTGATCATCTTCCCAAATGTCATCTCTCACAATAGGAAGAGGCCCCAAGTTTTGAGCTCCCTTAGGATATCCCCAGATTCCCCCACCCCAGCTCCTCCAAATTCTTTTAAGTATGATTGTGCCTGGTCTGGCCCTTCCTGGGTTAAAGAAAGGTCCTGTGTCCAGATATTACACCCCCTCCCCGGTTTCGGATACAGTGCCTAGGTTTGGGGGGTCAGCATTGCACTCTCCCACTGGGGGTGGGTGGGAGTTTCAGGAGCACTGGAGGGTCCTGGCTGGGAAGATGAGGGGAGGGGCGTTGGGGGGTGAACATGGTAGCACAGTCTGATCTCATTCTCCTGCTGTCCACAACCCCTAGCCCGTGAGCAGCTGCGAAGGTCACGCCACAGCCGCACATTTCTGGTGGAGTCAGGAGTGGGAGAGCTGTGGGCAGAAATGCAAGCAGGTGCAATGGAGGGGGATGGAAGGACATCTTTCAGGGAACCATATACTGATGGGAGGAAGGACATACCTAACCTGGCAGTCCCCTCAGTCACCAGCACCTTCCCTCTCACAGCTGTGCCCCTAACTCCCACTTCTTCAGAGTTCTGTGTGGAGGAGTCAGTGGAGTTGCAGAACTTCTGGAACCATTTCTCTCCCATACCCTGTGCCCATATTTGGTGGCCTGAGGTTCAAGTACTTGAAACTCCTCACATCCCTCCCCACACCCTGGGGTGGCAGGCTTGGGACCTTGGGCAGGGTTGGAGACTGGACAGCCTGGAGGGGATGCAGGACTGAGGGTTCAAGGCAGGCCATGCGTGTTTGCCTTTGCTGACTGTCACAGGAGACCGCTATATGGTGGCCGATTGCGGGGGAGGCACTGTGGACCTGACGGTGCACCAACTGGAGCAGCCCCATGGCACCCTCAAGGAGCTCTATAAGGCATCTGGTGAGTAGCCAGGCAGCACCCTTGSTACGTAGCGCAGGACCTATAGCCCGCCAATAGTACTTGGTGGCCAGGTGGGCGCTGACACCCCTTCCACTCTCTGGCTCACTGTAGGCGGCCCCTATGGCGCTGTGGGCGTGGACTTGGCCTTCGAGCAGCTGCTTTGTCGCATCTTCGGTGAGGACTTCATTGCGACCTTCAAAAGGCAACGGCCAGCGGCSTGGGTGGATCTCACCATCGCCTTTGAGGCCCGCAAACGCACGGCGGGTCCGCACCGTGCGGGGGCGCTCAACATTTCACTGCCCTTCTCCTTCATTGACTTCTATCGCAAGCAGCGAGGCCACAACGTGGAGACGGCCCTGCGCAGAAGCAGGTAGGTCCAGGGCCCCGGCTCAGGCAGGATTTGCTGTTGAGGAATGGAATGCCACTTCAAGGGACGGTCGTGGGCCCCACAGGACTGTCGCTGTCCGCGTGGACTGGTGCATTACGGAAATGTCGACGGGGCGAGGGGCGAGGGGCGAGGGGCGTGAGAACCCAGTGGAGCAGCCCAGGAATCCGCAGCCCAAACTGGGCAAGAGGGAGAATCAAGGGCAGGCGGTGGTGGTGGTGGGCGGGGTCGGATGTGTATCTTCTCCCGCCCACCTCCCACCTCGCAGCCGACCAATGTACCCTTCCTTGGCTTCTCTGCACCTAGGCAAGGGTATGCTCTTGCCTAGGACTGGAGAAGGCTGAAGAGTGGGGTGGGGATTAAAAGCCAACTTCTAGCTGGTTCACCCTTGACCCAGGTACATCCCCCCTGGCGGCAAGGGTAGGGAGTGAAGACCACAGATTCCAAACTGTGGCAAGCAGCCTGACCCTGACTCATGGGCCTGTGCCCCTCTTTACTGCTTACAGTGTGAACTTCGTGAAGTGGTCCTCTCAGGGGATGCTCCGGATGTCTTGTGAGGCCATGAATGAGCTTTTTCAGCCCACAGTCAATGGTATCATCCAGCACATAGGTGAGTGCCTGGTCTCTGTTCCACCCTCATTAGAGAATAATTCCCCTCACCAGTGCCTGGAAGCCACCACACATCCATACACTGGGATGAGACCCAGAATCATCTGAAACACCTGGAGCATGCAGTGAGGCAGTGATTAAGAACTAGGGGGATGAGTGTAGCTCTAGCAGGTTAGAGAACCTCTGGTGCCCCGGCTTCCCCATTTATAAAATGGGGTGATAGCACTGAGTTCCCCCAGATGCTATCACGGGGATTAAATGAACTGAAGTGTCTAGAGAGTGGGTACACGGTCTTGCATAGTATAGGAATTTGATACTGTAAATGCAGGTCCTGGTCCCTTGCCTTCCATGGGGTGGCGGGAAAGAAGGGGGTGAAGATAGAGTGTTGGGGAGGCAGAGCCCATGAGGGATGCCAAGAGCTCTCAGTGAAAGTGCTTAGTGTTTTTATCAGGATGTAGATCAAATGGCTAGTTTTTTATTGCCTAAAGTGTACAGGTGGGGAGGGGAGGGGAAGCACCAAGTTGGCACGAAGTTGTGGCCTCAGAGGCTCTTTCTCTCCCCTTCCCTTTCATCTTCCTCATCCATCATCTTGGTTCTGCCCCACAGAGGCGTTGCTGGCGCGGCCAGAGGTGCAGGGTGTGAAACTGCTGTTTCTGGTGGGCGGCTTTGCCGAGTCTGCGGTGCTACAGCATGCAGTGCAGGCAGCGCTGGGCGCCCGTGGCCTGCGCGTTGTGGTCCCACACGACGTGGGCCTCACCATCCTCAAGGGCGCTGTGCTCTTCGGCCAGGCCCCAGGCGTGGTGCGGGTGCGCCGCTCGCCGCTCACCTACGGTGTGGGCGTGCTCAATCGCTTTGTGGATGGGCGCCACCCTCCTGACAAGTTGCTAGTGCGCGACGGTCGCCGCTGGTGCACCGATGTCTTCGAGCGCTTCGTTGCGGCAGAGCAGTCGGTGGCCCTAGGCGAGGAGGTGCGGCGTAGTTATTGTCCAGCGCGCCCTGGCCAACGGCGCGTGCTCATCAATCTGTACTGCTGCGCCGCCGAGGACGCGCGCTTCATCACAGACGCCGGCGTGCGCAAATGCGGCGCGCTCAGCCTCGAGCTCGAGCCGGCCGACGGCGGCCGGGATAGCACCGGTGCAGCCCCAGGCCGCCGCGAGATCCGCGCTGCCATGCAGTTTGGCGACACCGAGATTAAGGTCACTGCTGTGGACGTCAGCACCAATCGTTCCGTGCGTGCCGCCATCGACTTTCTTTCCAACTGAGGGCTACTCGCCCCGCGCTCTTTYGGTCCCTGGGTCTGGAGAGCGGGGTGGGAGCTGAGGAACTGGCCAGTTCCGATGTCAGCGCCCCTTCCCTCCCWGCCCTCCATCCTGGAGAGGTGAAGTCTGGAGGGAGGGAGGGGACATATGGAGACTCGCTTTGTGATTGGGCTTTGGTCCACTGAYTGGAAGGCTGAAGGGCCCCCGCCAAGAACCAAGAACTTCTGAAAGGTTTGCAAGAGGGAGGGCCCAGACTGGCAGGGTGTGTGTGATCCCTTAGAGAATGCAGCAAAAGACTAAGCCCTGGCCTGAACATGGGTTGGGGGAGAAGCAGCAGCAAGATAGGTTGCCAGGTGCCACTGCAGGAGGGAGGTTGTGCAGGGCCTGGGCCTGAAGGGCCAGAGTTCACTAATTGATGGGCTGCTGCCATAGGGGAGAGCCAGGCAGAGCAACCCCAAACCACAGGAAAAGGACAAATGGACATTGGAGGGACAGGTGTTAGTAACACCTTCCTGGATATGCTGACCGCTTAAATATGACTCTTACTCACAGAAAGGGCAGCAGCTGACTGGTGGGGAGGAGGGCACATTATTATAGTGAAGGCAGCTTTGGGGGGTGTGGAGATGATATGCTCTGGAGCCTAAAGACAGCTTGTGAATGACCCACCCCACTTTCATCCCCACCACCTGATTGGATGGGCAGTTGAGGGAGGGTAAGGACAGAGGGAGCACTGAGGGATGGTCCCAGCTCTGCCACTGACTCCCTGTGCCATTAGGACATTCCCAGAGCACCCACAGGCCTGCTTCCCCAAATGTGAAATGTCAGGCATCTCTCTCAATCATGACATGCAACACCCACCCTGCAGCTTACACTAAGATGACAATAAAGCATTTATGCTTAAGGGCAAGCCACAGCCTGCTGGTACCACACAAGTGGGGACCCTAATAGTGGTAGTACTGTAGAAAGCATGAGTTATAGAGAAAGAAGAAAGTTTTCAGCTGTGCACAAGGCAGGGAACCAGCCATAAGGGGGTGCTGCTGTCAAACATCCCAAATACTTCCCCACTCCTGAAGACCTCTCCCTGGCCAGGGCAGATACCCATCCCCAGTTAGCCCCAGGCCTAAAATGCCACCACCTGTACACAGCTCTTCTGAGGCCAAGGTGTTACAATACCACTGGCTGTTCTTGCCTCCTGAAAGGATGAGTTACCCAAGTCCTTGCCTGGCCCATCTGTGAGGCATTCGACAATCTTRAGACCAGAGAGAACAAAAAACCCATGGCCATGTATCCATTTAAGTTTTTATTTCTTATGGGTTCTAACCCAACCAGTCATTTAAAAACCAAGTAACTCAGACCTGAGGGGTAGGAGCTGGGAACTGCGCCTCCCTCCTACTCACATGGGTAGCAGTGGGGAAGAGGCAGGGGTGGGAGAGGTGGCTGAGGCATCCAGGCAGCAGCAGCAGTAATGGGGTGTTGGCATCACAGAGCCACTCAGTCCTCTCCCAGACCCTGACTGGAGCCCACATGGCTTGGGATGGAGAGTGGGTAGAACCCACCCCAGAATCTCCCCTTCCCCTCCTTAGATAGCCTCCTTGGGGGCTCAACCCATTTCTTCTGGCAGGAGACTGAGGCACACGGAGAGGAGGAAGTGGGAGAATAGAACACAGGAGAGGCAGGGTAGTGGCAGAATGAAGGCAGAGGTGAAAGGTGTGGGCGAGGCCCCAACACCACCCCTTCGCCCACCTGGGGATGGGGTGAGGAAGCCACATCATCACGCAGCATGTTGGGAGACCAGGTGGGGTTTAAGGCTGAGGGGCCCCAAGACAGGTCGGCCGGGTGCGGGCCTCAGTCGAAGCCATGCCAGTCACTATGCTCAGAGTCGTACTCCAGCTCTGCACCCACACACTTGACACCGTCCAGTAGCATGGGTGTGCCGTGGTGTCGGTCTGCAAAGCAGGCATGCAAGCTGGTGTGTCCACTGTACCCTGGCCCCACCCCAAAGGGTCCTCTCTCCCCTAGAGATCAGGTAGTGGGGGCCACTGGGAGGACCTGGGCTAAAAAGTTGGGACCCCATTGGATAAGGATCCCCGAGGCCAATCTTGCATCTGCTCCCTTCCAGCCAGATCTATGCCTCACACTCACCCATGACACGTGCCTGTACCGTCACCCGCACACAGGCACCAGTGCCACCCTCGCAGGCTAGGAGCATCTCCTCTTTGAGGACGCCCTCCTTGTGTGCAGAGTACTCGCACTTGATGCTGTAACCTGCCCAGAGACAGGGGACAGGTGTGCCATCAACACCTCCCACAGCTTCCCAATCCTGTCCCCAACACTTATGGCTATCACCCATCACATGATATGCTAAGCCTCCCAGAGAATGGGGCAAGAATGGCCCCTTCAGAGCCCAGACACACATCCCTATTGGTAAGATGTGCCTAGAGGCCTAGGAAGCTTCCCTTTCTTCAATGAGCTCAATGTGCCTCTGGCCTGCAGGCCATCCCCAGCATGGCTCTCAAGGTGAGGCAGACTCAAACTCAGGCTTCCAAAAGAAGGACCTGTGTATTCAACACAAAGGCAGGCAGTGAGGGGGTGATGGAGAACAAGGGAGGCAGGCAGGGTGGAATGTGAGCAGACTGTGGCAAGAGCAAGGCAAATGCCTAAGGCATGTTGCTTGGAGTCCACTGGAGGACAAGGTCATGAAAAGGTAGAGAAAGGGGGACATGACACTGAAGCTGGGGTCTATGGGCAGCACATGGAGAAACTGACACCCTAGCCTCTTCCAWGCTGAAGGTAGCGGGTGGAGCAGGGCCTGAGGCCAGCAGGGTTGGGAGAAGCGGTGTGAAACCCAGAGCCTGGTGGGTGCTAGAAGTTGGCCACACAAAGTTCTGCGGCTCCAGCAGATTTTTCTCGAGGGCAGGCAGGAGGGAGGGTTGGAGGCCCAAAGCCGGTGGTTCCCATCTTGATAACTTCCCCACTAAGGAAACCATCAGGCAATGGGCAGATGCAGGCCTGCAGTGTGAGTTCATTGGCTTCAGTCAAAGAAGGGAGGCCTGGGAMATGYRAACTACCAAGTTATCACTGCAAGCTCTTAAGAGGTATGTGTCACTGACTTGAAGTACCCCATATTCTCACTCTCACTCACATCTGGGACCTACTGGAGGAGGGCAGGCCTCCAGAACCCCAGGAAGGGACACACCTTCAGGGATGGGCATGACGCTGAGGAGCTTGAGGTGAAGGCTGGGAACAGGTGCCTCCCGGATGTCCTTGCTCAGCCTGCGCACTGGGGGCAGAGTGAAGGTAATCTCATACCTGTGCAGGATCTTCAGGAAGCCAACCTGCAGCAGAAAGGGTGAGAAGACAGGCACCTCCAGTTACTGATTCCCTAAGAGTCCATCCAGGCCATGCTGCCTATGATCCTTGTGGACCACAACACCTGCTTCTCTGGAAGCCTAACTCCTTCCATCACTTTAGCTAGACCCCTAGTCCAGTGGCTTCAGGCCCTCTGGCAGAATCCCTTCCCCTAAAGGCCAGCACAATCCTCATCATCTGTCAAGGACCCCACATTCCTTAGTGGCCTATTTTATAAAGAAGATTGAAGTCAGAAAATGACATTATGTGACCAGGGAAAAGTCTTCCCTAGATCTCTTGGCCACTCTTGCCATATTGGCACATAAGGCACTAGCCACTACTTTGAGCCATATGGAGGCTCCAAGTCCCACAACACAGACCATCCACCTGTCCCCACTACTACCAGCACCTATTCAGAACCAGTAGCCCAGGGTCCTCCAATCCCTAATAAGGAGACACCAGGTAACACAAAACAGTGTGGATGAGGGATAGAATGAAATTAGGTAAGTGGATACCACAGAGTAGGGGTATAGTTCAGTGTTAGTTCATGCCTAGCATGTGTGAGGCTTTGGGTTTGATCCACAGCACCAATTAAAACCCAAAATGAACTCCAGACCAGCTGTGTAAGTCCACAGCTGGCCCACAGACCTGACTTCTGCCTGTCTCGCTGGCATCAGATACACCCACCTGCTCACTCAGAGGCCCCTATTCATGGCCCATGGAATTTGTTGTTGTTTAGTACCAAGAATTAAACCCAGAGGTGCTCTACCACTGAAATACATTCCTGGCACTTTTTATTTTTTATTTTGAGACAGAGTTTCACCAAGTTACTTAGGACCTTGATAAGGTACTGAGGCTGGCTTCCAACTTGCAGTCCTCCTGCCTCAGCCTCCTACTTGTATGGAATGACAAATATGGGCCATCACACCTGCTTGAATATCCATTGTTTATACATAGTGCTTGGCAACCAACACTGTCCCTTTGGGACAGATGCCATCCTTGGAAACTCAGTGATGTGAAGAATTACAAGCCAGAGTGGCAGTTGGGCACAGTGGCCAATGGAAGTGCCARTCCAGTAAACACAGGAGGGATGCAGTACCCCCAGCTCATGTGGGCAGAGAATCCTGGTCAGGGCAGTTTGGAAATGGTTGTGTGGAGCTTTTAGCCTTTCAATGGGACCAGCCTTACATCACCCACATGATAAAGCTCAATCCAGGTGATCCCCTCACACTCTGCTGGTAGTGGGCATACTTCTCAAGAAGCCTTTCTGGCTGTACCTGCTTGCTGTGACTCTGTGATCCAGCTGCACCACTTGCAGAATTTTCCAGGAGAAATGCTCAGAGATATGCAAAACAATAGTCATTGATACCCTATTTATAACAGGAAAAGAAATAACTGTAGCACCTAGGCACAGGGAAGCAGCAAAATCAATGATACACATGATGAAACACCAGGCAGGTATAAAATCTCATGGAAGATTATTTCCTGATACAGGGAGGAGCCAGTTCACAAGAAAAGCAAGCAAATATACCCTGTCCACTGTGATGCCAGTTTTTTGTTTTTTTGGCTTTAAAAAAAAAAAAAAAAAAAAGCTTAAAAAATGAAACCTGGACTGATAGATATCCAAATATTAACCATGGTTATTTCTGGATAATATAACTGTGGCTACTTTTAAATTTCTTTTTATTTTTTGCAGTGCTGGGGAGTGAACTCAGTGTCTCATGCACACTAGACAAGTGTTCTTCTGCTGAGCTATATCCCTAGCCCCTTATATTTTTCTCATAGATGTGAATGGATTTTGCAATGAGGGAAGGGAACTGGGGTTTTTTAACTAGGTTTTTTTTTTTTTTTTCTCATCGTTGTTGATGTTTTTTGATTTTTAAGCTTTAGTTCGTTCCTTTTTTTCCCCAGGGGAAAACTGTCAGCTGTAGGAGAAAGAAGGAAGACATTAGGGTTAGACAGAAATGGATACAAACCTGGGCCCCTTCTGAAAAGAGCAGCAAGCCCCTTTTCAGGGCAGTCTCCAGGGAACCAAACCTCTGCCCCCCACCACAGGGCATTTCTACTCAACTCTGGATCCTGGGCTTATTGACCAACCTGAAGGCCTCAATCTGGCCCCTGCAGAGACTCCCTCCTGCCTTTCCAAGTGAATAGGGGACCTATCAGTCTCCTGGCAGTTGGAGAAGTCATGTGTGAGGTATGGCCATGAGAAAGGGGTACTCTACCAAGTAGAAAATGTGGGGTGAAGCAGGATATGTAGTTCAGTAATACAGTGTATGTTTAGCATGCACAAAGCCCTAGGATCCATCCCCAGGGGCAAAAAGAAAAAAAAAAATGGAGTAATCAATACCATTACAAAGAGCCCAAAACATGGTAAAAAGTCACACTTTGTAATCACCATATATCTGCATCACATACCTACATCTTCCATTCTCACCAACTCTATAAGGTGTAAATTGTCTCCATTGGAGAGAAAACAAATGAAGATGACCTGCCTAAGGTCATAGAGCCAGAATGGCAGGCCTAGACCTGAATCCAGGCTTGTAGCACTACAGCTGCCTTGACACCAGCCTTCCACTGCTACTGGCTGGGTAAGGCCAATGACACCAGCTCTACTCACCTGGTGATACATTCATCTCATTGACACCCCCCCCACCACCATTTTATAGATGGGAAACCAAGGCTCAAGGAGGGGCAAAGACATGCCTGTGAATGCCACTGAGGAAAGAGGAAAGACAGTCCCAGAAAGCCAGGTACAGCCAGAGAGGAGGTAAAGCTGATTCTGGGAGAAATATGGACATACCTTGACCAGAAAGCTGCTGTCACCCTCCTGGGTGACCATGACCACTGAATCATGTAGCTTCTCATCAAAGTGGACATGGCTCTGGGAGCCTTCGGCATCATGGCCTGCTGCAAAGCGGATACTCCGGACTCTGGGCTTATTGCCTAAGAAGAGTGAGAGAAGAATCCAGGGGTGGCTACGTTCTCCTACCCCCAGAAAACTATGTCCCTCTTATTCCTTCCCCATCCCTGGACTTCCCTTGACATCACCCAGCACCCACTTGGCCAGGCAAATTCCAGGACTAAGTCCACTGGCAATCAAGAAGCTTGRGGTTATCTACCTCACTCCTACCTGCCCAGTCGTCCCACAAAAGTCATCCCCACAACATGGTCATGGGACCCCTCAGGACTGGCTGATATGACTCCCCCCTTACTTGGAAGGGAGGAGGCTGGCACCAGAGACAGGAAGACACAGCATTGTAGGGCTTGGCCCAGGTCTCGGCACACCTGGCCCCATACTCTCCTTCACAGTGCCAAGCTCCCCAACCCTGACATCTTCTCTCGAAGGTCTGTCATTACATGAGGCCCCAGTCTACTCCCTGTGATGACCTCAGCCAACCTGGGGGCCAGAGATAGAAGGAGGTGCCCTTCTTGGAGGTGGGAGAAATGAAGAGGGTTAAAAACCATACTCCGTCCACTTAGGAGAGACTGCAGCTGTCACTAATGCTCACTGATCACTGGCAGGTTCAAGAAGAAAGAAGCTGGGGAGCCTCCTCGTCCTCCCCATGCCCTTTCCTCTCTGCTTAGCCCCCATCAAGGCCCTTGGCTGTCCCTGAGCTGGGTCTGGTTCTCCGAGGCCTGAAAGATCAGGGGATTGAGAGGGGAAGAGTGGTGGGGAGCCAAGTGGCTGGTCTGAATAGTCACTCAGGCTGAGGGACCCCAAGAGCATGAATCCAGTCCTCTCTGACACTTCAGCCCTAGGCCTCCCAAGAAACCTATCTGGAGTCCTTTTGGTGGGAAGGCCTGGGCCAGCCTTGGCCTGGGTTCTTTGACATTCAGCTAAAGCCCTGGGGGCCAGCCTGGTACATCCACAGTCCTTGTTGCACTTCATTAACCTGATTATAAGATTTTACCAGAACTCCCTTGCCTAAAACTCTCCAACAGCCCTCTGGATTCAGTGAAATCCAAATGGCCTGCTGTGGCCCTGCCCATCTCCCCAGTTTCAGTACTTACACAAGTCCTGCATGTTGCTGGACCACTAGCAGCACAATAGAGTATCTCACACAAGACATAGGAGCACACACCTCCAGAAAACAGCAAACCAAGGAACTAGCAGGGGCCTCTGCTAGGGCTTGGGTGACCCGCAGGACCAGGCACACACAACTCACATGTTCGGAATTCATACACCATGCATACAAACACACACACACACAGCTGAAGCAGGCCCCCCAAGCAAAAATGCCCCGTACCCCAGGGCCCATCTAAAAGCTCATGCACACCCACAGGCCAGGAGGACACTCACCCTTATTGGCTGCAGCCATGGACGCCCTCCCTGCCACCGAGTGAAACACACAGCTCCTGCTGTATACCTCCGCTCCAGCTCAGCAGCCTCCCATGCTCCAGGGACACAAGCAGGAACCTGAAGGATGGGGGATGGAGAGGGCAGTGGTCAGGATCACCCATGAGCCCATGACTGGGAGAGAGCAGAGGACTTTGCTTAGGAAAGACTCAAACTGCTGCTGCTTTCAGCAGCCCAAATGGGGCCTGCATCCCCTTGCACAGGGGTCTGCCTGACCCCTTCAGCCACTGACCACAGACATCAAGAGCCCTCACCCCTTCCTGACCCCCTACTGAACCCAGGGCCCTGCCAGCACATGCTAAGTTTCTGGTGCCAAAGTGCCAACATAGGTCAAGTGCCCAACCCACTTGAGACTGGCAGGAAACAGCCTGAAGAGAAAGGGAACTTTATTAATTTTTAGGGGCCAGTTCTGGCATTGCTGACCCTGAAGGTAGACCCAGGAGTCATACATATTATTCAGGTCACAAACCCAGTGCAACTGTGTGCTGGTCAGTCAACAGCATGCTTGGAGATAGGAAAGAACAGGGGACCACAAGAGATAACTCTATCCTTAGMGCTTTCCCCCTAGTGATCAGTCAGAGCCACATACAGAACAGAGGCCCATGGAGAGGATGTTATCCCATCTGAACCCACCATCCAGACCCTGCACTGGCTCAGCTCATCAAAGGCTGTCTCGGTGCAGAAGCAAGTGTGAGGTGTCCTAAGGATACCTCTGATGGGCTGAGCTGGTCCTATCTAAGCATCAAAAAGAATAAGAAGCACAACTGATGGAAACAGATGGAATACGTAAAATCAGAGCATTCAGAGAGATTACAAAAAAAGAAGAACAAGGAAAGCAAAACAAACACAAACCCTCATGTATCACCACTGATGGCAGCAGTGCCCCTTAAASAGAAATAATTCTACCTGTCCCTCAGCCTTTCTTGTAAGCAAACTGCCCTGGTGGTTAATGGAAAGCTCCTTTTCACTACAGATTCCTTACTAATAAATAACAAAGGAACAACCAAATGTCAAGTAATTCTGCAGCACCTAAAGAAACAAATGCCAGAGGCAACAACAGTGAGAAGATGCTGAACCACCAAGGAAAGGCGTGTGGAAGTAGATACACACAGATGCCCAAGTGCCACCAATGGATGACCTGATGTTCTTAATGGGGATTAACACAAGTTTGCAATAGGGGGATGTGGCATCACAAGGCCACACACGGGTCTGTCCCCCTCACTAACCACAGGACAGATGGCCTTGACACACTGATGCCTCCTGATGTGAGGCAGCCAAAAGTCACAGCACCACTGACAAGGGATCCCTGCCAAAGATGCTTAACCTGGATCTGATAGGGCCTCTAGCCCCAACTCCTCAATTACTAAAAACCAGAGGACAGAACAAATTAAACGATGCCCTGAGCAGACAATGAGACAAACCCAGAAGGCCGAGTATTCCACAGGATGACTGACCTGTTTTTTTCAAGGTGCAAGAAAAAAGAAACAGAAAGATTGTTCTAGATAGGGAATTGGCAAGTTACAGCCTCTTGGGCCACCACCTGTCTTTTGTAAATAAAGTTTTACTGGAATGTAACTGTTCTCATTCATTTACATATTGTTTGTGGCAGCTTTCGCACTAAAACAAAACTACTTCAAGCAGTTGTGACAGAGACCATATGGCCGCAAAGTCTAAAATATTCACCATCTAGCCCTTCATAGAAATGTTTTGCCAACCCCTGTTCTAGATTAACTCACACTTAAGGGACAGAAAAATCTACAGGACAACTGACCTGGTTTTTTCACTGAATCAGCTACAAAAAGAAAAGGACATGGGGGAGGGGGTTTTTAACTCCCTATAAAAAGACATTTGGGGGCTAAGTGGGGAATGTAAGTGAATAAGATAGTAGAAGACACTAAGAAATTAGATGACTTTGTTAGGTGAGATATCAGAATTGTACTCCATAAAGAAGTATACGGCTTTATTTTCTCAGAGAAACACACTGAAGTGCTGAGAGACGAGTGACCCATGAATGACCTTGGGTAATCCAGAGAATGAAGAAAAACCATGGGGTGGCCTCACGTCAGGGGCTGGGCCTATTGAGGGCATGACTTTTGAGATCCCTCGGGGGCTAAGCCAGACAAGTCCACCCAGGTCCAAGCTGTGTGTTCACAGCTTGGGTCCCAGGAGTCCCCTGGTAGGAGGCCTAGAGATGCAGGGAAGGGCAAGCAAGGTTCAGGCCTGTGGAATGCAAGGTAGGTCAGAGCAGCAACAGCCCCTTCCTTGGAGGCCAGGCCTAACTTGCAAGGAGGCAAACTATACCCTACTCACCTCTAGCCAGGGCTGCTCTGGAGACAGCTTTCCTCCAAGGAGCCTGGCCCTGGAAAGCAGTCTGTCCCAAYCCACCTACTCCAGCCACCCCCAAAGCTATAACTCAGAACATGTGACAAACAGCCAAATGCAAGGGTGCCAGGCCTCCTTCCTTCCTCAAAGAGGCTGCTCCAACCATGCTTCTATAGCCATAAAGTAGTGACAGCCCAATATCCACAAGCCTCCCCTACCCCGCCCCCCAAGTACCCTGCTAAAACTCTTAACCAATGGCTCATTAGAAGCTCCTAGAGGCCCTCTTCACAAAACACACAGACCCAGATATGCAGGGCCCCTCCCTGTCTTCCCCTACCCCACTGCCTGGTCCCCGCCTCCTTTTGCCCGACCCACCCTTTTCACTTCTGGGATCATATGTTATCTATCTTCTCCACCTTAAAAGGGCAGTGACTGTGGTTTTGTCCTGAGCCCCCAGCACAGCACCTGACAGGGAGCTGCTGACTTCAGTTCATATTTGTTGAATGAATGAATGACATCTCTAAGGGGAGCCCAAGTATAGGCCTTGGCTGGACCCTCTAAGCAGACATGGTGTGGTCAGGGACAGCAACTCTCAGTATCTCCCTTCTCAACTCTCAGAGCAAACCTCTACCCTGAGGGCATCGCTCCCCTGGACTTCCTCTGGCCTTGCCACAGTGGGCTGGTTACCTGCCCATGCCTACCTTGAGATGGAAAGACTGCTCAGGGCAGGACCCACATCKTCAGTGCCAGAACTCATGACAGTCACTGAGCAACTGCCTGTAACCCTCCGTGAGAATACAGAACAGGGAGGCAAGTGACTTCAGGGGCCCAAAGAAGGTTGGAAAAGCCAAACCATCTTTCACAACACAGAACCTGCCAGCAGCTGTCCTTGAAGCTAGACTCTCATCCACACCATTTCCTCATTAGAAGCAGGAAATGAGGGCAACAGACCTCCCCTGATGCAGCCATGTTCACAGAGAAGTGCTAGGCCACCTTGCAACCCCTAGGGTAGCCCTGCCTCCAGTCTCCTCCTGTGCCAATTCCTCACTATGGTCTAAGACACACAGTCTCCTAGAGACAGCAGTCCAGGTTTAAATTGAGGTTCTGCCCTTTCTGGCTGCATGGGATATTCCTATCAYTTTTCTAATAGGCAGGAATAAGGAGTGGCCTCTTCCTCCCAGGGTATGGTGCAGCTTTGTGCCTAAGATCTGTGAAAATGCACCCACCCTGGACCTCTGTAAAACCCCAAAGGCCTGGTTTCTAAAGCAATAGTAATTTCACTAGGAAAAAAAAAAAAAAAAAGCACTTGGAGGAGAGGCACTTCAGGTCAATCCTGGAGGAGCCAGAATGGCCCTTCAAGAGGACCCCAGGGAATTCAGCTTCTTGGAAAACAGCTCAAGGGTTAAGGGGACCTCCCCCCTCCCTTCTTCTATTCCCAGGGCAGTCAGGCCCCCAGGGAGGGATGGAAAGAAAGCCGCTGGAAAGCCCCCTATCCACCCCTCCCCAACAATCACAGGAGCTCAGAAAGATGTGAACAATGTGTATCTTTGCCCTCCTTCCATGGCTAAACAAATGACCCAGCCTCTGCCTTGGGTGCTGTCAGCAAGTCAGGGGTAAGACTCTGGACAGTCACAGGATGGGAAGGACTCAAAAGCTGGGACAAGGCCTTTGGGGCTTCTTTGGCTTTCAGTTGTTCTCAGGCAAACGGGGGAAACTTCCATTAGGGGGACAGAGAGGTGCTAGCCCAGATCCTTCTTGGTTTTGGAAAGAAAGGCTATTTTAAGGCTACTAGGGACTAGCAAGTAACCAGACAGCTGGACAGTTGCTCAGGAACCCAGTTCTGCCCCACAGAGTGYTGGCTGTCACTTCAGGGTGTCCCATGCAATGGCCCAAGCTTCAAACTGGAGAAAGGGCCAAAGACCAGTCTATTGGTAGCAAAGTAGAGCTCCTGAACCCAACACCCTTTTTTCCCCAATACATGCAACCTCCCTGCCCCAGAAGCAGCCCCCAAACTCCCAGGTATCACAGGGCCAGCTCCAACCAGATCTTTGCTGTGTGGCTAGGGGTATGTCCCCAATCTCTCAGGACCTTATTTCTCAATAACTCTTCAATCCCTAATCTCAACCTGGTCCAAGGTCTTTCTCTGTGCCAGGGGAGACAGACAACCTTCCACTCTTACTACCATTTCCTCCACTACACCTATCCTGGGGCTCAGTACTGGTTGAAGCACTCACTGTAGCCTCCCATTAAAGCTCAAGTCTGTAAACTGAACACCCAATAAGACCTTGAAATTGGGCAACAATGAATGAATGCCTACTTCCTAGAACGTGACCCAGGACTGAGCACATAGCAGGGCCACATACTTACATTACAGCAAGGCAATGCTGGAGGAAGCCATCAGCTCGGCCTTGACCTAACTTCATTTCCTCCTCCCTCCAGAAGGCCAAAGATGTGAGGGTTAAGTAAGGATTTTTTGTTTGTTTGTTTTCTCTCACAGTGAAGCAGGAGTTGAATTTGGGAAGGGACTCCCACCCTCCTCCCACCCTCCTTCCTGTTTCCCAGACAAGTGCTCCCCTCCCCTGCCCAGCATTCTCTCTCCTCATTCCCCCTGCCCTCAGCTAGAGGGTGCTGAGACTCCTCTAGTCTACAGACTGCCTGACCCACCCTGACCTGGCCCTAGAGACCTAAAAGACCCAAGAAGCAGAGGCCAGTCTGCATTCAGGGGATGACAGATACTTCTGTCCTTTCTCAGCTCCCTAGAGTAGAATAATGTCCTATCCCCACTTCCCAAGGCCAAGACTCAACAGGAAAGACAGGCTGAGAAACCCTTTTCAGTCTGACAGGGTCCTGGGAACGTTGGTCCAAAATCTAAATCAAATCACTCTAGCTACATGATATCAGGGAGGCCAAACTAAGTCTCCAAGGTGCTAGGGGACCAAGTGTGGGACTCTGTTTCCTTTCTTAWCGCCATCCCTGTGGGTGTGGCACCCTCAGCCCCACACCATTCTCGTCTTCTTGGGAAACAAATGCAGCTGAACGTACCCCATCATATTCTTCCCGAGCATCAAGGCAGCGGTTCTGACCAAGATAATCGCCTGTGCTCCTTGCCCTCACCTCGGGTGACGCAGGAGTCTCCGGAGTCCGCACTCCCAGACATTACCGCCCTCTTGCCCGAGGGTTCAGAGCACCGAAGGCTCAGACACGCTACCCGCCCAAGGTCAAACTACGAGATGGTAGCGACAGCGAGGACGCGGCAGAAAGCGATGCTAACCCCCCCCCATTACGCCCCCGCCCTCACTGTGTCACTTGTGCCCCGCGACAGCGCCCCGCGGAAAACATTCCCGCTCCACCAGCTAACGGTCACCCGCAACCCAAAGACCTAGCATCACCCCACTCAGGTATTGGGAAGTACTCCAGGCCCGGCCCCGACAGCGGAGTCCCCCTGCCCCACCCCTCCTATCACCCCGAGCAGGGTCCAGGCACCAACTGTCTAGGACGGCGACCCTGCCGGGAGCGGAATCTCGGCAAGATGGGCGGACCCCGGAGGCTGTGAGAGGAGGAACAGTCTCACCTTGTAAGCGCACCTCTGGGATGGGCCAGGCAGGGACTACCGCGGTGGTGGCTGCGGTGGTTGCGGTGGCGACAGCAGCAGGCGGCGGCTGCAGCCGGGCCACAACGCTGAGCACGAGGAAGAGAGCCCCGCGCCACTGCCGCCCGCCTCACGGCACGCCCCCGCCTCTGCCCATTGGCTGGTTGGTGGGTGGGGCGAGGGCCGCTTCAGACCAATGAACTAGCTTCAGGGAACCGCCAACTAGCGATTAGCCACCAGCGGCACGTGAAGGGGGCGTTGCGCCTGCGCCCTATGATAAAGCGGTTGCTCCAGGACCCGGCGAGTTCTCGCGATGAAGACTGCCAGGCTGCCAAGCCGCCGGTCGTAGCCGGGAACTAGAAAGCAACCCGAGGGAGAGACTAGGTAGGAGGGGCGCCTCAGAGACTCCGCCTTTGTCCCACGTCCCTGCGTGGGGGTTTGTACTTCTCACTTTGGCCTCGACTTGGGCGGGGCTTCCCCTGGGCTTTGCTCCCTCCGGTGACCGTAAGGCGGGGCTGCCGGCTAGATGGAGCGCCCAAAGGTGGCCTTTCTCCCTCCAAGTTTCCACGTCCTCACCATCAGCCGTTACGACCCACCCTAGTGCTGTCTAGTAGCTAAGCAGCCATCTGTCCG